AATTCTCAAAACCCACTTGGGAAGGGTCCTAATTTTGGATTTTGTTTTCGCTCATGGGCTGATCAGTTGACCCTGAATTTACATTTCCCTCCCGGAAAATCCTTGACTATTATTGGTTTATGTAGTATTTAAGTATGCTATTTTGTGACTCTCCCAAGGACGTTTCTATCATGTGTAAATAAACTCCATTTGTGTGTTTGTAACTAAATATTTTCTGGGTGCTTGTAGAATGCACATTCTACGCGTTAACAAGACTTCTTGATATAGTTGACCAGGCCGGGCAAAGGGATTAGAATAGCCTATCCTGTCACTGTGTCATTGCTTCCGTTCGTTTAGCGAGTGAAGTGAACTCGTAATAGTTTCAAGCATATCAGTTGACGAGCATATCATTTGATCATCGTAACTAGGTAGGAGAAGTCATTAAGGGTAGGAAGTCTGGTGATATTTCTTGGGAAACGTTTACATATATGGTCTAGAATAAAGACATCATAAGAAATCCCGGTTGACCAAAGTCCTAATGGTGCGATTGTATTGAATATATTTCTGGTTTTGTGATAGAATGTGTTTGTTAGTTCATAGGTAGTGCTTACAGTAAAGAAGGTAGTCCAGTCAATGCTTCTGAAGTAAATCGGAGGTTTGTCCAATCAATCTTGCGAAAGTCTTTGTGGAGTGTGTTGGTTTTATGTTTTGTAGATGTAATTTTATATCATGACTGCAGATAACGACATTATGATCGCTACCTGAGAACACATATAATATTTGGGCTGAGGTTACTGGTGAAAGTTATATCCAAAATATCGCGATGTTTGGTAGGGTTGTAATTATATTGAATCCGCTCTTCAAGCTCTAATTAATCAGTAGATGATTCTGAACGTTTTGGTACTTTGACTGGAAACCAAGAGATCTCAGGCAAATAGACCTGCCTGTGACCTTTAGGGATGAAAAAAGCATGAATATTTCTGACAGTGCCGCCAAATCCTCTGTTGATGAATTAGGCTGACGATAAACACAGCCGAAGAGTAACGGAATTAAACAAGAGGTTTTCAGAACGGTCCACACAGAATCTTGTATATTGTCCAATTCTGGCACATCACATAAGATAGTTTAGGCTACAGTGGGCATATACGGGGGATCCTCCACCTCATCCTTGTAACCGATCACGTCGAAACAGATCATAATTTTTAAGAGGTATGCTTACATCAAAAATATTACAAGTGGTCCGTCACTCAGACATCATTATAAGGGATGGTTGATAAAGAGTGCAAACATGACTAAATCTGTTCTGTTATTAAAGATCGAGCGAGCGGCAATAAGACATATATATATTGAACAAATGTCCCGCGAAGCTAGAATAATTGGGATTATTTCGATTCAGGAAGTTACTATGGGTGTGATATGGGTTTAAATTCAGGGAACGTTTGTTGGAATTAGCATTTTGGTGGAAATAGGGGTCATGTAATTTTCTTGGAGGTGTTGTTAGCCCAGAGCGTAGGGTTAGAATGTTGGCTGTTTGAGACTGTGTGGGGTAGTGATTTTAAACATGTCTGTGGTGGAAAGTGACTACAGTATATGTCGTGTTAGAGGTACCACACGGAGCTGTATCCCAAGAAAATCTCGGACAAGCTGTTTGTGCAGCACAGCACTCTTTCTAGTATAGTCTTGATAGCAGAGCTTGTTGCCGTGGTGATATTTGTTTTGATTGGTCTAAACCTAGAGAGGAATGGCCTTATATAACTGCCAGTTGTTATGACCGTTTCCAAACATGAGGGTCATTTTTACCAGCTGGACTGGTAAGGTAGGTTGGAATTAGTGTTCATACTGGGGGTTGTTGCAATTAAGAGCATCAGTATATTAAGTACGGTGTGTGGTAAAAAATGAACTAATAATTCAATGATTTGGTGGTACTGCGGTGTACCTAGTGCTTTCAAAACTACTGTTAGTCTGAGTGTTTGGATGTTCATCACACTTGTCCTTAATACAATCTTCGAACTTTTGAAGTCCAGGGATACTCCACATAATATAAGAGGCGCTCATCGTACCTAGGAGTCGCGGGTAAGTTAGTTTGAATCCTACCTTTTCGGGGAACTAGTCGTTATTTTTCCAATTTTGTTGTTTTTGGCTAACATTCAAGCAAGTTAACGTTCCAACAGCCTGGATTAGAAAAGCAGGTGTCCCTATATTTCTCGATGGCAGAAGGGATTCATATTATATGTTAAGATTTAGAGTCTGTGGAGTCGTCAACATCTACAAGATAAGTTATCGTATGTACTAATATCTTGTTTGTAATCGATGTGCTGATCATTCTTGATGGCGTTGGGACTTGAATTTAGCCAATTATTCACTGTTACACAGTCATGAGATCTTATCGCTTCTCATTTGTTTGACGTTTAGCATACCACATGCTTGATGTAGGTATCCCTTATCTTAGTATAGGATTTGAGGTCAGGGTCATTAAAGGAAGGTATTACTCTTTGCAATACTTCTTCAGCTCCCAATTTCGATATCCGTTTAGCCTTAGTCAGTGCTTGGAGGTTTTTGTCATTAGCTGAGGCCCAGTAATACGTGAGGGGAACTAAGTAGCTATGTTTATCTTTTATTTTGTCAAGTGAGTTTTGTAATTGTCGTACATCACTCTCGTGATGATGAACATTATAGTCTGTATTGGATGAATTATTTGATACCTTAGTTTGTGGACTTATAGTTTTAAGCTTCTTAGGCATATACTGATGTTAATGCTGTGCTGATATTTCAGTATATGGTAGTGTAGAACATCTTATATTTACCACTTTTACCGTTGGTATGCCAGGTAAGGAGAGGGAATGGTTGTCACGCAGAGTATCGGCTAGTGATAGCAAATTTTGTAGAAAAGAGGTGCAGGGTTCATGAGTTGCCTATGTATGACTCTCCCAAGTACAGGTTCATCAGGTGTATGGTCTTGGTATTTCGACCACTTAGTTGGTGTGACTTATCTTTTACTACAGTTATTGTCTATAGCTGAAAACTGAATGAATCTGTA